GCCATGATGACACTCTTCAGGTCTCTTGTTCTATCTGGCTGGAAATAATGCTCGCACACTAAAAGCACCTTTCATGGCAGGTGAAATTGCCGACTAGATAATGTACAGAGAACCTTTCACGGCGCGCATAACGGAGATAAAAACTCCTCAATTATTGGGCGCTTGAGGTTCCTAAACCTGTATTCCCTGGAACGGGAGGGAGAGATAATGTTTATATCACTGGAAATTCCTAGAGGGACTAGTACGAACTCGCACACGGGAAATCACCCATACGAAAGCAAAAAGATTGGCAGGACGATGCACCATCCCCATATGAAAAGCAGGGGGTGACACTGCTCGTTAAGAGACCATACAATAAGTGTCAGGGGCCCCAGGACTGTTTCAACTGCCTCCCAGGCACACATAAGGGGGATTTCCAACAGACCTGGCAGTCTTCAAGCTGGGCCACTGGACTAGCACCTAAATGTCAGTTAAGGATCAGCGGGCTGTGGCTCGTTTGTTGCGTTTGCCGTGCTAGCAGCAGCATCAGCCTGGTTGATCACGGCTTGATTCCACCGGGAGCCTGGTCTCAAGTAGGGCCGCGGGGACGTTGACCCCCGGTAAACTCTTCCATGGAAAAACTCCAAGGTATCATTAGCCTCACAGAGGTTGATAGTGACACAGTGATCCTTGAAGGTGAGATCCTCTAACATTAATACTCTCAGGTTCCGCTCACACTTCTTTTCCCGGTCTTTTGTGTGGCTACAGTTTTTGTCAACTCAGTTCTAGTTATTATTTCCTCAAGTGTTCCATTAAACGGACAATAGTTTATATTTTTATTCTCCTTAACACTGTTTTCCGTTTGCCACTGAAAAAACTTTGTTTATATCTTCTTGGAGATTTACTGTGACCTTATTGGATGAGTCTCGTACATATTCTAGTATCGTCTACAATAGTGCCACCTAGCACAGCAGCATCACTAGCACCAGTAGCTTCACTAGCACAGCAGCATCACCTAGCACAGCAGCATCACCTAGCACCTTTATTATCTCCCAACACAAACCACTATCACTTAACAGAAAATCATCATCCAGCAGACATCATCACCTAACATTCAGCAGCATCACCTAGCACAAACACATCATTTAAGACATGATCAAACAGATATCAGGACCTAGCACCTTATCACCAAGCATACATCACCTCCGCCATTATCGCTAATCACACACCATTATCTAGCACATACCAGCACTAACATCACCTACCACACATACCAGCACTAACATCACCTAGTTCACCTAGCACACATACCAGCACTAACATCACATAGGCCACATAACCAGCAATCTAACAATCACATAGCACACAATAAAGCACGTACTCACCAGCACACATACCAGCACTAACATCACTTAGCTCACATACCAGCACTAACATCACCTAGCACACATACCAGCACTAACATCACCTAGCACACATTACCAGCACTAAACATCACCTCGGCACACCATACCAAGCAACTAACTCACCTAGCACCAAATACCAGACTAACATCACCTAGCACACATACAGCTCACTTAACATCACTTTGCTCACATACCAGCACTAACATCACCTAGCAACAATACCAGCTCTACATCACCTAGCACACATACCTCAGCACTAACTTCACCCTAGCAACATACCAGCACTAACATCACCTAGCACACATACTGCACTACATCCCTAGCTCACATCCTGCAACTAACATCACCTAGCACACAAATACAGCGCTAACATCTGCCACACATACCAGCCACTAACATCACCTAGCTCACATACCAGCACTAACATCACCCTAGCACAAGCGCCACCCAGCATCATCCAGCACACATAGCTTTCCCCTTGCTATTGGAGCAACCTAGTACTTAGCAAGTTTCGTAGAAACTGTATGAGTACGTAACACTTATCACCTCAAGCGTCACCATAACACAAGCACCTCTTAGCACAGGAGCTATGACTCGATCCCACGTACCACAGTTAGCGAGAGTACACTCGGGGCCAGGGAGTAGCTGAAACACAACTGCAACCACATTGAGTATCCACACACACACACACCCCACGCACACACACCAACACACACACACACACTCAACACACACACACACACACATAACACCTCACATCACACACCACACGGCACACACACACAGGATACAGAGCTTCAAGCGAGTATGAGCAGGGGAGAGAGAGCGTCCTAGTAGCATCAGTGAAGCGAGCAGGGGCCCAGGAGCTGAGTTCTCGACCCCTGTCAACCACAATTAGGTGAGTACAATTAGGGTGAGAGTACTCCACTCCACACACAGTTTGATTCAAGTTAACCTATATTCCATAATTATATTCTGACTATTTGCTATTACATATTCATATATGCAAGTAATATTTTCTATACTATATTTGCTATATTTATTCGCATTTTATACACTTGACAATTTTTCACCTTTTTCCCTCTTCTTTCCTTCAAAAAAAAAATATTGATCATCATATTCCAAAGTATCTTCAGGCATTATTATCTCTACTTATTCTTGTAATTAAATTATAATATACTTTTGTCTATCTCAGTTTCTAATTATGGTCCTTAAGCATTTTTTTCTTTCTACGTTCATTTACACTATAATTATTCTTGGTTGTAAATTTATGAGGAAGTATTTAATGTGTTTGTGTCAAGTGATACGGTTATTGAGTCATGTAATTTTTATTAAATTGTCTATGTAATGACCCAAAACACTGTCTCTTAAAAGGTTATAAAATGTCGAGAAATACAACAGATTTAAATGGTTGCAAAAACATGCTTATTTGTGGTTTGTTATAGTTAGCTCATGAAACTCTGTCACTGTAGATAAGTGGATTCCCCACATCTTATCTGGAAGTTGTGTCTTTAATATCATTCCCTGCAAAGTACTCACAACAAATTTTACTATTTAATCCCTTTTTTAAGGTCACCTTTTCAAAAAAAAAAAAAAAAGGCAGGTTTTTTCAGGGAATTTCTCGCTTAGTTAGTTAGTAATAATTGATCCCTCGGTTTATCTCAAGTTATTCTTTAGGGGAGGTTCTGATACTGGTGAGGGACTTCTTGATCTAGGGAATTGGATCGTGGCATCCAGTTCCCGAATTAAGCCGAATGCCTTCCATCCCCCTTCCTCTTCTATCCTTAGACGCTGCATTATCCAACTGGCAGGGGCTTGCTGCTACTTTGTAGTCACCTCCTTTAGTCAAGCAGAGTCTACTGGCAGGGCCTTCAGATATTATAGTCAAATCCCTTAGATAGGAAGTCTACTGGTGGGCTGCAGCCTAATGTAGGAACCTCCCATAGATAAGAATAAGTCTACTGGCAGGGCTGCAGCTACTCTTGTAGTCATCTCCCTAGATATACGCAAAAAGTCCTGGCTGCCAGGGCTGCAGCTACTCTTGTAGTCACTCTCCCTCTAGATAAGCAAAAGTCTACTGGCAGGGATGCAGCTACTTCTTGTTGTCATCTCCCTAGATAAGCACAAGTCTGCTGGCAGGGTCTGCAGCTACTTTGTAGTCACCTCCCTAGATAAGCAAAGGGGGGGGGTTATGGATGGCCTGCAGTCTACTATTGTAGGTCACATACCTTAGACAAGTCAAGCAGTTCTGGCAGGGTGCATGATTCTTGTAGTCAACCTCCCTAGAACGTGCAAGAATGTACTGGCAGGGCTGCCAGCTACTCTTGTTAGTCATCTCACTTGATAAGCAAATGTCTTACTGGCATGGCTGCGCTACCTCTTGTAGTCATCTCCCGTGATAAGCAATCTAGTATACTGGCAGGGCTTGACAGCTTCTCTTGTAGTCTCTCCTAGACAAGCAAGAGTACTGGCAGGGCTGCAGCTAATCTTTAGTCATCTCCTTAGATAAGCAACAAGTCTACTGGCATGGCTGCAGTAACTCTCTGTATCCTTTCCCTAGATATAGCAAAGGTCTACTGGCATGGCTGCAGCAACTCTTATTAGTCATCTCCCTAGATAAGCAAAAAGTCTTACTGGCAGGGTTTGATGTACTCTTGTAGTCACCTCCTAGATAAGCAAAAGTCTACTGGCAGGGTGCAGCTACTCTTGTAGTCACCTCCCTAGATAAGCAAAAGTCTACTGGCAGGGCTGCAGCTACTCTTGTAGTCACCTCCCTAGATAAGCAAAAGTCTACTGGCAGGGTTGCAGCTACTCTTGTAGTCACCATCACTAGATAAGCAAAAGTTATGCAGGGTTGCAGCTACTATTGTAGTCACCCCCCTAGCATAACAAAAGTCTATGGCAGTGCTGCAGCTACTACTTGTAGAACCTCCCTAGATAAATCAAATAGTCTACTGGCAGGATGCAGTACATTGTAGTAACCTCCCTAGATAAACAAAAGTCTACTGGCAGGGCTGCAGCTACTCTTGTAGTAACCTCCCTACATAAGAACGATGGGATCTTTGTGGAGTTAGGCTTAAGAATTAACTGGGCATCAACACTGCCAACTGAACTGTATGCCATCCTTATGTCACTAAAGGTAACTAATTACATTGAGCTTTACTGTGATTATTACTGATTCAGTGACGTCACTGAAGACTCTTAACTCACATGATCACTGACAACATTCTCACTGGAGAAGCGAGTATGATGTAATTAATGTGTTAGTCAAAATAGGGACCCTTAAGAAAAATTCAGAATATAGTTGTGGTGTGTCTGTGTTTATCATTAGGAATATTAGGAGATAAATAATGAAAGTGAATGTTGTAGGAATTAGGAAGTGGTAAAGAATCCTTCCTCTGTAAGCCATGTGTGTCGCAAGAGGCGACTAAAATGCCCGGAGCAAGGGGCTAGTAACCACTTCTCCTGTATAAAAATTACAAAATATGAAAAGAAAAACTTTGGATTTTCTTTTTAAGTCACCCTGCCTAGGTGGGAGAAGGCCAGTACGTTGAAAAAATATATATATGGTAAATATAATCACAAATAATCTGATTGTATAATATTTCCCAACAGGTGATCAGTCAGGAAATAGGAAGCAAGATGGCTCTTTTTGAAAAGGATTTGTACAACAAACTTCAATGGATGAAAATGTGTGAGGACGATTTACGACGTTTCTGCTTCCCGCGTTCTCACTGGCAGTCGGGAAAAGCTCAGCTTTTTAACATTGAACAAAGCATCAACACTACAATTCATGGGCCCAGAAGCCGTACCTGCAAACGCTGCAACACTGTGTATCGTGTTGACAATAAAGGTTGTGCGGTGAACCTTGAGACTTGTGTACACCACTGGGCGAAAGTGTCCAGGTCAGTCAATCCCTACTACCACTGCTGTAAGCGACCCATCAATTCCCCACCTTGTGCTACCGCTCCACAGCATGTCACGGGAGAAATTGATCAATTCAACCTAACAGGTTTTATCAACACTAGTCTCAATCAGAGTCTTACAGCGAAAGCCATTTATGCCATCGACTGTGAAATGCTTTATACAAAAACAGGTATGGACGTAGCAGCCATATCAATAGTGGACTCAGAGTGCGAGTTGGTGTACGAGACACTGATTCTGCCAGAGTCACCCATCGTAGACTACAACACTGAACACTCAGGACTTACCATGCAGCAGTTTCGACATGTCTCGACACGACTCGCAGATGTGCATGCTAAGCTGCTCACATTATTTGGAAGTCGTACCATTTTAGTGGGTCATGGATTAGACCACGACCTTCTGAGGCTGAAAGTAATACACGATCACATTTTAGATTACAGTGGTGCTTTGCCCACATCCTAAGTGATTCCAGTATCCGAGGCTCTGTTCTCTCCTACTTAGTACAAGTTATTCGGGATGCTGTTTACATCTTGCTCTGGCTCAAGTTCAAAATGATGCAAGGAGCCATGTATCTCGATCCGAAATTGGGCGATAAACTCAGAGTTAAAAATACAGTTCTTTTGTACATCTTTAGTCCAAAAATATTGGAAAATTTAAGATGCTTTTTTCTGGAAAAATGGCTCATTTAGTTTGTAATAATTAGGAAGGTTTTTATAAAGATCTGTTGTATCTAGTAACTAGGCCTAAAAAAAATTTTATATTTTTTATTCATACAAAATATGTGCCCATAAAAACAGGAAGTTCAGTTTAAATACGACATTTCCAATGTTCACTAGATTCTTTTACCCCAAAAAAATTCATTTTTCATTTGTATTCGAGGACATTATTTTCATTTCGTTACAATTTTTTTTTGCTGATGTATACCAGCACTTTTTTTGTAATGACAGATGAATCATAAATATTTGTGTTGCATTGTGCGTTTGTTGATCCATAAAAACAAATGAGTATTTTTTGAGAATCAGTAATTTCATTTTTATATATAAGAAAACAAAACTTTCACTTTATTTCCTGAGGATATTAAAAAATTATCAGAATATTCTAGTTTAAATTTTATTTCAAGAGGAACAAAAATATATTTTTGCAATTTTACTGAATAATAAAAAATCTGAAGAAATCTGAAAAAAAAGCGGAATTGTTACCAATCAAATTGATTTGAAAGTGATTTTTTTTGTATGCATTTTTTGTTCACTAATAAAGTAGTTTTTGTCAGATTATTTTTTGTTTGTTAAAAGAGAGTGTAATGTATATTACGATGACAGAGAGTGTAATGTATAATACAATAACAAGAGAGTGTAATGTATAATACAATAACAAGAGAGTGTAATGTATAATACAATAACAAGAGTGTAATGAATTAATACAATACAAGAGAGTGTAATGTATAATCAATACAAAGACTTCGAAGTTAAAGGGAGAAAACAGTAGTTTTTGTGAGATGGATGATGCTGGTCTGTGAACTAAGTTGATGCCTAGAGAAGGTTCTGATTAATCAACCCCCAGGCAATATTGATGCTAGAGATGGGCTCTTGATTAATCAACCCCCAGGCCAATTCTGGCTGAGAGAGGTTCTTGATCTTAGAAATAGAGTGGTCTTCCCCGGTTCAAATATTATCAAATTTTCAAGGACCTGTATGTACCCCTAAAGTTTAACACTTACCATTAATTTAATAATATATTATTGTCTAAAAATTCAACCAGGTTTGAAAATTGTTCTTATCGCAATAATATCTACGAAACTACGATTAATATTGTATTAAATGTTGGTACGAATAGGAATTACCGATCGATATGTTATGTAAACCCAGGCGCTGTATAACCCTCTGGGTTTAGCGCCATCCCTTGATTATAATAATAATAATTATGTTAAGTAAAACGGTCACAACTGCAAACTACATGGGGCATTTTATTGTGGCGTATAGTATCTTGAACTTGCTGGGTTGTTGCACCCTGACCTTCATCTTGCAACTTGCTGGGTGTCTGCACCCTGACCTTCATCTTGCAACTTGCTGGGTGTTGCACCCTGACCTTCATTTTTGGGCAACTTGCTGGGTGTTGCACCCTGAGCTTCATCTTGAACTTGCTGGGTGTTGCACCCTGACCTTCATCTTGCAACTTGCTGGTGTTGCACCCTGACCTTCATCTTGCTACTTGCTGGGTGTTGCACCTGACCTTCATTTGAAAACTTGCTGGGTGTTGCACCCTGGTCTTCATTCTTGCAACTTGCTCGGGGTGTGTTTGCTCCTGTCCTTCATTTGAACTTGCTGGTGTTGTACCCTGACCTTCTTCTTGCAAACTTGCTGGGTGTTGACCTGAGCTTCATATGGCAACCTTGCCTGGATGTTGCACCCGACCCTTCATCTTGCAACTTTGGGTGTTTGCACATGAGCTTCAATCTTGCAAATTGTGGGTGTTGCACCCTGACCCTGCATCTTGCAACTTGCGGGTGTTGCACCCTGACCTTCATCTTGCTAAATTGTGGTGTTGCCTGACATTCATCTTGCAACTTTTGGGTGTTGCAACCTGACCTTCATCTTGCAAACTGCTGGGTGTTGGAACCTGACCTTAATCTTGCAAATTTGCTGGGTTGTTGCACCTGACCTTCATTTGCAACTTGCTGGGTGTGACCACCTGACCATTCATCTTTTGCAACTTGCTGGGTGTTGCACCATGACTTCATCTTGCAACTTGCTGGGTGTTGCCCCTGTCCTTCATCTTGAACTTGTGCTGGGTGTTGCCCCCTGGACCTTCATCTTTGAATTGCTGGGAGTTGCACACTGTCCTTCATCTTGCAACTTGCTGGGTGGTTTGCCCTGACCTTCATCTGCAGTTGTGGGGGTTTACACCTAGACCTTCATCTTGCAACTTGCGGGGTGTTAGCACCCGGACCTTCATCTTGCAACTTGCTGGGTTTGCACCATGGGACCTTCATCTTGCAACTTGCTGGGTGTGCACCCTGACCTTCATCTTGCACTTGTGGGTGTTGCACCCTGACCTTCATCTTGCTACTGCTGGGTTTGAACCCCCTGAGCGTCACTTAGGCAGTGTACACACCTGGCATGCTCTTCTGGCACTTCTCTTTCTGGCAGTTCTCTTCTGGACACTTCTCTTCCGGCTCTTTCTCTTCATGGCATTTGTCCTGGGACTTCTTTCTGGGCACATTCTTTCAGGTCACTTCTCTTCTGGCTCTTCTCTTACTGGACTTTCTTCCTGGCCATCTCTTCCTGCCTTTCTTCTGACACTTCTCTTCCTGTAGTTACTTTTGGCAGTTCTCTTCTGGCACTTCTCTTCCTGGACACTTTCTTTCCTGTGCACTTCTCTTCCATTGCACTTTCTTTCCTTGGACACCTTCTCTTCATGGCACTTCTCTACTGGACACTTTCTTCCTGGGCACTTCTTTCGGGCACTTCTCTTCTGGCACTTTCTCTTTTCCTGGCACTTCTCTTCTGGGACTTCTTTCCTGGCACTTCTCTTCCTGGCACTTCTCTTTGACAATTCTCTTCCGGCACTTCTTTCTGGACTTCTTTCAGGACACTTCTCTTCTGCACTTTTCTTGGCATTCTCTTCCTTGCACTTCTCTTTGGCATTCTCTTCTGGCACTTCTCTTCCTGCAATTCTCTTCTGGCACTTCTCTTCCTAGGCACTTCTCTTCCTGGCATTCTCTTCCTGACATTTCTCTCTGGCATTTCTTTCCTGGCACTTCTCTTCTGGCACTTCTCTTCCTGACCCTTCTCTTCCTGCACTTCTCTTCCTGGCACTTCTCTTACGGCATTCTCTTCCTGGCACTTCTCTTTAACTGGCACTTCTCTTCCCTGGCATTCTCTTCTGGCAACTTCTCTTCCGGACACTTCTCTTCTGGCATTCTCTTCAGGACTTTCTTTCCTGGCACTTCTCTTATGGCACTTCACTTCATGGACACTGTTCTCTCAACTGTCTGGAATTCCTTATTCTTTTTATTCTAAGTAATGAAAGTGTTCCTTACCATCTGGGATTCTTTATATTTGTATCACTGTTCACATTTTTACCTTTTTTGGGAATATTAGAGCATTTAGGTTTTCAAAAGCTTCTGGCTTGCATATTATTTATGACTCAACACTTTCATACAATTCAACCTTTTTATAACGGGTGACAAATCAAATCAAAATGGCTTCTGTACTTGTTTACTGAATTTTCTGCAGCATCCAACTCCCCCAACATTACCCAGGTCATTCAGTGTGTCCGCTATAATTACTGTTCACATGTTCTCTCAGAGGGTCTGCATCACTTGAGTTATTGAGCCTTCTCTTAGTGCTCTAAAAGTTCTGGTAAATCTTCAGAAAGTACCAAATGCGAGGCAATAAAGAGGTTTTTGACTGTGGTGTATGGTCACTGGTTGTACTTCTTCTTCTCAGGCTTTTTAGCATTTTATTTTTTTCATTTGGTTTTGTAGTGTCCGGGGTATTTATTATCCATTTCACAAGGTTATTTGTCATTATTTTATCTTCAGTACAACGGTTTTTGTTAGTTATCATCTTCTACAGATTCCATATCACTTCTATTCAGGAGTTTACATTGAATTCCTTGTGTTTCACTATCCAGGAAGCTTCTCTGTTTTTTTACTTTCATTTAATCTACCTTCTTATGTTATGTGCAGTCAACCTGTTAATGAACACAGGCATAGGAGAGAAGAGGTGACATTTGATGATACAAGACTAGGATTATACTCATCCCCATTGTGGAAGACTCATTTGACTGCCTCTGTTCACGGACTGAAACCAGTGAAGAACATACTGTAAGTATGTTACAGATTACAATCAAATTTACAATAATAAAAAACTATTTACAAGGTCTTTATTTAATATGAAACATTTACAACCTAATAATGTAGAACCTTAATCAATATACTATGTGGAAACTAACTATTTTTATACCGGAAAAAGGCAATTAAGACATATTAATTTACACCTATAGATCTACTATTCTAGGTAGTAGTTGGTAGACGCAACCCGCCCAGGGTGGTACTACCATCTGCCAAGTGAGTGTAAAACGAAAGCTGTAATTGTTTTCCATGATGGTAGGATTGCTGGTTTGTCATTTTTCTGTCTCATAAAACATGCAATGATTTTTAGGTACGTCTTGTACTTCTATTACCACTTAGGTAACACTACACATCATATACAAGCATATATATACATACCCCTTGGGTTTTCTTCTATTTCTTTCTAGTTCTTTTCTTGTTTATTTCCTTTTATCTCCATGGAGAGTGGAACTGAATTCTTCCTCGTAAGCCAGGCGTGCATAAGAGGTGACTTAAATGCCGGGAGCAAAAAAGTGGGGGGGCTAGTAAACCCCTAATTCCCCTGTATAAATTACTAAATTTAAAGATAGAAACTTTCGTTTTTCTTTTTGGGCCACCCTGCCTTGGT